TCAGCAAGATTCCGTTCCGGTCACAATCTGCTTAAGATAAGCGCAAACAACATCAGTGAGGTCATAACCTTGTTACGTTAACTTAAGAACGGAATGTGAAATTCATTAAAAAAATCCCTATGCTGTATCCCAGTGGTGCCCAGCTACCGGCCCGCGGACCGGTACCGGTCCGTGGGCTATTCTCTCCTATGGGATTCTCTCCTAATTATGTGCGCTCGTCTCTCTTGACATATTTCCCCAAGCGTCACCAAGCGTTTTTTTCTTCACGTTTACAATTGTCCTCTTACCGTGCACGGCAGTTTCGCCCACCAGCGATCGGTCCGCCCGCAACAACTACTACCCATCCCCCCCTGTTATTCCGCCGGACCTTCTTGAGCGGTCTGCGAAATATTATCTGACATGAAAACGGTCCGTGACGTTTTACTGTTCACACCTGGGCTGAACACTGTCTCATGTTGGTTTTGCACAAGAGCTGAAAAAAGATTCTATGGCCAACAAATGTTTATTAAACTCATTAATGTTGTTCGAGATGATCGTCACTAATTAACACTTAAAAGATTCAGAATGCACCAGCGAGGTACATTAAAAAGTATTTAATAAGCTTATTTTGAAGTATCCAACCAACAACCAATGAACTTTTAACACGAGGGAACCTAATGTGCAAAAATGACAACAATTTCCGTTTTTCAGAATTCCGCCAACTGCTGATGCTCCGACCTTCACTTTTATTTTTAATTGTTAAAATAGATTGTTCACTCTCACGGTAACTCCAAGGACAGACAGAGTACGACAAAAGTCAGCGCAGACTCTTGTGAATGAGGGGAACATTTGCTCGCGGCATGCTGCCGTTGCACTGATGTTGGCTTCCTCTTTCTGGATGAGCTGCGGAGGTCGGGTGGCAATCGTTCGACCTGCGAGGAGTGAGAGGACCAGAGCCCGCGCTGCCTACTGAGGGGGACGTATTATCTGTGCATATTTCTTCACTTCACCCTTGAATTAGTTGAAATCAAAGCTGCAGGACAATTCAATTTGACACTTTTTCCAGATTAAGTAGTTTAAGTTAAATATTTAAGCATTCTGTTATGTAATTTGATCTTAAATGCATGCTTTACGTTTTTAGAACATTTATTTTAATTAGATCATGAATTATTTAGAATTCATTCACTTGAATTTGAAAACATCCTACATATTATTGATATAATATTCAATTGAACGTGACCCGTAATCGCCAGCTATTTGTTGAGATGAATGTAAAGATTTGACAGGCAGAGTTAAAACAGATCATTGAAAGATGATCAATGAAAAATCAGATGACATGCAGCCAATGGGATCCAAGTGCTTGAAGTTGAGATGAAAGGTGCGTTAAAGTATGGCAGCTGAGGGGACATTAAAGACTGCTACAAAACTTCAAAGACTCAAACTCACACACTTGAAGGCACGGCCCGCATACACCGGGGGGGTTTGAGGCTGTCCCACTATCAAACCATTGAGTGCTTGAGGGCTCTTTTTCCGTGAGTATCAAAGTATTAAAGATTTAAGAAACATGACATCAGAAATCAGATAATGCACTTGTTTACCGTCTCTCCGTATATGATAAAAACCCTTCATAATAAGCAAACAGGTACAAGTTGTTTCATTTCATTTTTTGCAGACTTGATTAATCTTCCGTCTGTTTGTTGATTGTACAACCTTCACTTACACAGAGTCCATTCTTTGTGTATCCTTTTCCACAGCTTGTCTAGTTCATTTACAGTAGCTCGCATAAAAGTGCAATCACTTCTGTTTCTCCCATAATGCGGCACTTTGACAAGTGTGTGTAATAATGGGAGTAAACCTGCTGATTTGATCAATAAATACAAGGGGAAAGAAGGTATTTTTGCGATAAGCTCAGGACATGCATGTACTAGTAGACCTCTGTGATTCCACATCCCAGCATGTCAATGGAGCTGTTGATGCACCGCTAATCTCAGTCATATTCTTAATAATAATGTAAATAAGCGTCTGTCCCCCCCCTACTGCTTGGTGGAGGATGCTGGGTCACTTATTGCTTTGGAATAAATGACTTTCCTCAGTGGCCACATATCCTATTCTACTTAGGCCACTGTCAAATCACAGGCCTCGTTGAAGGAGGAATCAATTCAAGATGTTTGACACCTCATCTTCAGAGCAGATTACCTGGGGTACCGAATCCCTTTGGGGTCGTCTGCTGGCTTTGTCAGGTTGGCTTGGGGAGGGAAGCTGTCCATATCTCCAAATGACACTAAAAGTAAGTTCCACAGTCCCCATCCTATTTCAGTGATTTTTATCTCTAAACAAAAAAATGATTTACTAAATTTAGTATTAATTATGTCTTTTTGTCGGACTGTTATCTTAAACTTCGTCACATCGGCCGTTCATAAAAAGGCAGCTGAGGCCTGGGGAGCGTTAACGGGATAATAAGTGAGCACCAAGAGCCAAACACGTTTACCTGGAGATGGGTTTAGGTGGAAAAGCTTCATGTTACATCCGAAACGTCTCACTATCAGCAACTGACACTGAATTAATCATTTCTTGATGAATATATATGAAACCTTTGTAATTAATCCAACTACTCCTCATTTTAAAATATGGCATTTATCTATTTATTAACAAATTCTGTAGCATTTGCCTCTCTAGATTACATAGTGAGGTTTCACCTAAGAAAGACAAAAGGGAAAAAGGAAACGTCAGAGACGTATCGTGTATGGTTATGATTATTGGCAACTTTTTTGTTAAATTCAAGGTCTTCTCACTTAAGACAACTATTGTACTTGATGAATAAATCAAATCAAATGTGTGTAAATTTAGAGATCAGTTTATAGGACATACATCCACAATTACAAATGATCATTTCCGATGGCAGTAAAATATCACAGCATTTTTGCAGTAAAATAAAGTACCTTTGCCTTTTCCTAAAAAATATTTAGTGCTCTGCAGAATTAGGAGCTCAAAGTGAATGCTAGAAATGGTAATCACATATACCATTATCACATTAAATTAATTAAGGGGTTAGCCAACAAAAAATAATTTCACCATGTATACACCGATCGACAAATGTTTAAATGAATACACCGAAGCTCATGCCAACATATCAAATGGCTTTGTTAAGACTGTCTGTCTCTCAATATCCTCTCGTACATTTCAGCACTTGGGACAGTGCAGAATCTACACATGGGCTCTGCACACAACGAACAGGAGGTCTGAGAATGACTAATCATAATTTATGTTATGTTATGTTATGAATTGAGATTGAGAAGTGTGATTACTGGTCTTATTTGATGGTCAATTATTTTTATTTATATATATATATATATATATATATATATATATATATATATATATATATATATATATAGCAGAAGAAGCAAACTGTTAATAATTTTAGACGGAGCCTTCGAGTGCACCGTCTGAATAAAAAGGGAAATCCTCTACACCCAGAGGACCGGAAAAATGCCAAATGGGATCATTAAAGATCCAAACCACCCAGCCACAAACTGTTCTGCCTGCTGGCATTTGGCAGTCGCTGGAGGAGCATCCGGTCCCGCACCGTCAGACTCGGGGACAAATTCATCCCAAAGCCCACAAGACTGCTGAGCACATGATCTCTTTAACTCAACACTCAACTCATACTTTTTCTAGCTGAGGTGCACATATCCGCCAACACCAACAAACCCAAGATTTAAATTATGCATTCTTAGTGTGGTGCATCGGTAAAGAGATTTTAAAGTAAAAAATAATTAAGTAAAAGGGTTTTAAAATGAAAACGAGAAAAGAAAGAGTTTGAGAGTACTGCGAGGCAAAAAGAAGATGCAGGGGCGAGATAGCGGATGTAAAACCGGAGGGGGCGGTGAAGCAGAGCCGCCCGGAGCAACAGTCGGGTTTCAGAGGTTGAATGAGGACCCTGCAGTTTCCAGGAAAAGCATTCAAGCAGCAGACACACTCTTCTGTCTGACACTGTTTTAGGGGCATCCTCTAAAAACAACTTATGCCCTCCTTAACAGAGTTAGATATTGAGTCCCACATGAAGCACTTCAAACCAACAACTACTGCCCTGAAACTGCTTTTGTGTCGGATATTTGATATTCAGCGTTTCGGTCATATCTCACATTTCACCAGTAACAGCTCAGTTACAAGGCTGGGCAGCAAAAGCAGCATGTCAGCAGCATAACAGTAAGCGTCAGCACTGGATCTTTTGACGACTGCTGGGCACTCGGACAGATTGAACAACCAAATACCATGAATATGTACTGAAATCCATCCGCAATAAGAGAATAATAAATAAATGGTTGAAAAACATCTGAACCATGTAAAACTGATGCAGTTACGTTTTTGATGTGGCATAAAAAATAAAGTTGAAGGGGTCCAAGACATGCTGACTTTAATTCCCTAATCCTACCACAGCTCTAAAGATGCTTGTGTGCCCCTTTACAGTATATTCTACTGCCAAAACCTTGCAGTTATGAAGCAAAAGTCTCCCAGATTACCACACTAACTAAATAAATGAAAACTGTTCCTTATAATCACACTTGTACGGTTGTAAAAGCAACACCCTGCTGTTCCTCACTGCTCTGCAGTAATAAAGGCAGTACTTCCATATGTCTCTCAAAGCTCCATTACATTTAGGTTAACATGTATGCATCAGTAAAGAACATCTGTAACCAGTACTCAATTCCAGCAAGGAGATGCTGGTGGAGTTCAGGCTGAACAAACAATCAACAACATGATGTGACCAGAAGCCACTGCAGGGATCAATAAGGTACTTATAGGAGAACTTTAGTGCTGCCCAAAGGCCAAAGTGACGAGCATGGCTGGTGTTAGTTTGGTTTAACTGACAGACAGTTGATGGCTTAGTGTGGGTGTTTGTGGGAAAAAGCTTTATTTTAGAAAAGTGTCACTCATATCCAATGACTTTGGGTCCCAAAACGTGACCTGAACCACAATACTATGTGTGCACGTGCACACAATCAGATGAGGCCACTCACCTGAATGAATGGGAACAGGAGGCCGACGGCAAAGTTGGACAGCCAGTTTACGATGCCGGCGATCATGAAGGCGGCAGGTCGGTAGGACTGTTCAAACAGCTCGCCGGTCAAGATGAATGGGATGCCACCTGACAGAGAGGGGAGAAGATCATTAGTCATAACAAACTGCTGACAGCGCACAACAAAAACAATCATCTGCGCTATGAGCTTAAGGTATCCGGTGCTTCCAAACTATGGAAAACGATGGAATTTGTTGGAAACATTATACTCTCATTATTATTAGTCATGTATTTATTTTACAAAGAAATCTGTAACTCAAATTGACAAAGCATAGTAAAATCACCTAAATGTGCTTCTTTCCACTATTATGAAATACTGATTGTAGTAGCGAAATATCCCAAATGTGACATCTTGACACACTACAACCAAAGTCTAAATATTGTCTTTTTGAAAGTAAAAAATTCCTCAGGCCTCTCCCACAGTACGATGTGCAACCAATGGTTCCAAACCTCTGAGAGAAAATTTGACATTTGTGTTGACTTTTTTTAGCACGACAAACAAAGACAAACAGGCATTATACTGTCTGTGTGTTGCATTGATCGTTTTCAATTAATCAAATACTTTTTTCTATTGTTTATAGACTATTTGTAATAATGATATCACGAGAGCTATAAAATACATTTTCATGAAAAAAAGCAGAAAGTAATTGCTTATCAATTTAAAGTATTCTTTTGGTAAATTAGATCAGAACAGCATGGGCGGGTGATGGAGATGCTGAATGATGACGCATTCACAACATCCATCCATCCATTGTCAAACCGCTTATCCTGCACACAGGTTCGCGGGGGGGCTGGAGTCCATCCCAGCCAACTTCGGGCGATAGACAGGGTACACACAACCATTCACACTCACATTCACACATCTACGGGCAATTTAGAGTCACCAATTAACCTGATCCCCAGAGCATGTCTTTGGACTGTGGGAGGAAGCCGGAGAACCCGGAGAGAACCCACGCAGACACGGGGAGAACATGCAGACTCCACACAGAAAGGCCACTGGGCGGAATCGAACCCAGGACCTTCTTGCTGTGAGGCAACAGTGCTAACCACCACGCCACCGTGCCGCCCCTACATTCACAACATTTGCAACACAATTACGGTTCTATTATGTTCTTTAATTGAATATTTGACTAATTTAAAAGTCAACATAGGGGTGGCGTGGTGGTTAGCACTGTTGCCTCACAGCAAGAAGGTCCTGGGTTCGATTCCGCCCAGTGGCCTTTCTGTGTGGAGTCTGCATGTTGTCTGCGTGGGTTCTCTCCGGGTTCTCCGGCTTCCTCCAAAGACATGCTCTGGGGATCATGTAATTGGGAACTTTAAATTGACCGTAGATGTGTGAGTGTGAGTGGGAATGGTTGTATGTCTCTGTGTAGCCCTGCGATTGGCTGGCGACCAATCCAGGATGTACCCTGTCTAGCCCGAAGTTGGCTGGGATGGACTCCAGCCCCCTCGCGACCCTGTGTGCAGGATAAGCGGTTGGACAATGGATGGATGGAAAAGTCACCATTCACACAGAAAGAGGAATATTTCACAAACTTCACAAACAACAGAATACGGACGACGCCACACAAACACAAGTAAACACTATTATTTACAGCAGACACACTGAATAATATTATCAGTTAAGCCTTATCTGTGTATTCTGTTATCTGGCAACGTTTGAATAAACTGCAGTCTGACAGAATAACGATGTATGGCTGTAGATATGTTTTCATTTTAGGGGAAGGCAGGCTGGGAAATGTTGTACGGTATGAAAGCAATTTCAGGTAGCTGGATAGCAATGTGTTCACATATCGTCCTGCGTCCCCACGGTGTTCCCTGCTAAACTGATTGACTTGCTGGAACCTGTGTGATTACATCAACCTCCTTGTTAACGGTAAAAATAACTTACATTTGTTCTGTAACATTATGTACTTTATGCGTGGCTGAAGTGTATCTGTTGTCATCTAAAAAAGGCACAAAAACATCTTCTAAATCTGTAGATGTTACAATTCATAGCAAGTTATTTGTTTTCACACAATTGCCCCGGAGAACACTTAATGAGCTATACAGGCCACAGAGGCACTTTAATTAAGGTATAGCTCACATTAGCCCATCAGCCTCTTCGAAGATTTAATTGCTTGCGATAATAAAACATCTCGTTATTTTAATGAGTTGCCTTGATGTTAAACAAATGTGTCCAGCTTATTATAAGCGTGCATGTTCACGCATGCCCAAAGTGTGCCAGTTCGCTAACATCAAAGGGTGTATTACATATTAAGACTGATGAAAAATGCAAAGATGAATGTTCACAAGCAGCGCAGATTTAAGTGCAAGAAATATGCAATATGAAAATGGCTAATGTTTTCTTTTTCCACTTTTTCATTCAGCCAACCGAGTTGCAGGACACACACACACACACACACACACACACATCCTGGTTACTTTGATCTGATCATAGAGAATGTTAGAGGCGACAGAAAAGAGTTCTTCTTGCTTAACAGCTGCACCCAACTTTGTCTCAGCGCGATCGGAGGCTTTGGAGGAGCACCGCTCACACGAAGGTACCATTTAGACCGCAGAGCAGTGTCGAGACACGTTATCTGGATTATGACATCAGAGCCACTGAGCTTCACGTTTCCACTTTCCTCAATATGGAAAATAGACTATTCAACAAAGCTTTCACGACAAGCAGGGACCCCGCAGATGTGGTTTGTCTAGTCTGGTCACATACTGACCACACATGCAAAGGCCTCGTCCAAACCAGCTCTAACATTTTAGGCTTGAATAATAAGATTCACCCACCCAGTTTCTGAAAAATCAGTGGGAAAAAAATAAAATTGAGATATCTTTTCAATTTTAGCTGGCTTAGTGGTAAATAACTGTAGCCTTAGATTCAGAAAATAATGACTGAACATTTGCCCAAGGTATTTAAAAATCCCCCCGCAAGGATTTCCTTTTTGTCCCCTTGTAATCCACATGAAATCTGTCACAATATTAAAACATATTGCATTGTACAAAAGTTTTGAACAACTTATGCATTCCTCTTAACTTTGCCAACTAAATAAAAGTTTAATCGCCAGCTGCACTTGTCCGTTTCATTTGTATATTTTGACAATGTGAGCACCAAATATAATAAATGATCTCTAAGAATCCCTCTAACAAAAGGAAATCCAACTTTAATTAATATACGGAGCAGGACTAACAGGAAACATCATAGGAAAATGTTCCCGGGGCAGCTACAATAACACTGATTTCACTTCTGCGGGAGGGAGAAATCTGCTCTGCAAATGACAGAGGGAGGGAGGGGCGACTAGCCAACATGGCCATTTTGTACACTTGTGTGTGTGCCCAGTCCAGAGATAATCCGCTCAGTACAGAATTGGGTTTTTCTGGGACTTGTGCAACTAATAACGTGAGAGGCCCGTGTGTGCAGGCAGGGTAATACAAGAACCAAAACAATGATAGAAATCAACGCTGTTAATAAAGTAATTAAGAACAGCATGTATGTTGCTGAGCCAAGGGACTGTACACTAATTAGACCAGGTATGTTATTTGGGCAGCGTGTGATCAGGGCCTCAGAGGAAACAGCATGTGTTATCGTTTGAGAGGACGGTTTGCAGGTTTTCCCTCCAGCCGAACACGACTGACAAACATTCATCAGAAAGGAAACAAGTAATGTATTCTATCGCCTGCTTTGTTGACAAACGCACTATTAATCAATGATCCATTAATATTTTGTAGTAATTACATGTGAACACTTACTAAAACAATTAATCTGAAAGTGATATGGCTGCTGTTGTATTTCTACTTGATATTCTATTTGCGCATTCATTTCCACCAAAGCCACACGCATAAAAGCTTACACTAATTAAAGTCCAACTGAGTAATGGATCAACCATTAAAACAGCTGGAGAGTTTCAGATTGCAATCTGTTCATGCTACATGTGCAACACAGGGAAGGTTGGCAACAAATGCATCTATTCCCACGATGCAAAACAACACAGGCAAGTTCAAGATGACTTAAATATAGAAATGCTGCTATGATGGTGCAAAAACAGTTTATTCTATTGATTGGTTGTTGATTGGAAAATCATTGGTGGTGACAGATTTAAAATACTTGAAATCAGGCGAGATTGGAATCAAAATCTCCCAAATGAAATAATAGCTCAAAGTGGATCAGACAGAAATGATTGTGTTTGGTTTGCATTTGTGACAAGAGCTTGTGCTGTGCCTTCTGGTTCAGCTTGACCTATTGAGAAATTGCAAATCCACCAGGGTCAGAACCTTGATATGCTGTTGTGCCTCAGTCATAGCGGCTACGAGGCAGAACCAGAGGCCGCTGCTTGTTTCACTCTGTCGATTCTGACAAAGGCTTTAACTCTCTGTCATGATCGTCTATCAGTGTAGCAGCAATCGTTCTCATGGTTGAGAGAAGTTGAGGAAATGGAGTAGGGCTGCAACAATGAATCGATAAAATCAATAAAAATTCAGATGAAGATTATTGAAAGTGTTGTCAACGAATTTTGTCATGGATTCGTTGTGTCGCACAATTATTACACCACCAATGAGTCGCGGAGCAACAAATTAAAAAAGATAAGTCTGTACGACTCAAGTCCTCCAAAGTGTGGGAGCAGTTCACACTAAATAAACTATAAGTGTGTCAACGGAAAAAAAATATTCAAAATCAACATGACACAGGAGCACGTTGTCTCGTTTTCAAGTGAGGAACGTAACGAACCTCCAGCAGCTCTTCTGCTGCTGCTTGTGAACAAGTTCTAATGTTAAAACAAAGGCTGTTAAGTTGATTTGATTTTTTATGAATTATTGTGTTATTATTATGTTCAAGGAGTAACCTGTTTGCAACCACTAGTTTTTTTTCCACTGTGAATTTGCAATTCTGTTTTAGAATAAAGGGTTGGAAATTAACGCTGTTTTAATGCTGTTTTTTTATCCTATTAATTGATTAATCAAAAAGATAATCAAAATAATTTTTAGTTGCAGCCCTGCAGTATACAATATATTCTAATAACCTACATTCTGAATACAGATATATCAACAATAAGATCATTATGCTCTCATATATATAT